AGCCGAGCGACTCGGCGAGCATCACGGTGACGTCGCCCCACGTGTACTCGTTGTTGTTCTCGCGCAGAGTCTTCACCACGTCGCCTGCACGCAGGGCGGGACGGTCGTATGAGGAGACACACGCTCACGACCAGGAGGAGCTCCCCGCGCTGCTCGGAGGGCTCAACGACATCAGAATTCGCGGAGGACCCAACACACCAAAACTTCTATTTTCACGAAAAACGAAAGGCATTTTCTGAATAATAGCGCGAAAAAAATGTAAATTCCTCAATTCTAATGAGAAGTGCGTGCAAGGCGGCAGCTTGCAGCGGGCATTGGGCTCACTCGTGTATTCCTGCTCCATCCGCTCCAGCATCTCCTTCTTGTACCCGAACCCGCTGCGATTGTAGTTGTCGCTCTTATTCAACGCTCGGCGGAACGCGCGGCCATCGACGGCCGCCTCGCTCTCCTCGCCATGGCACCTGATTCCTGCTGGTAGGCGCTTCGCTCCAGCAGCACGGCTCGGCCTGGAAACAGGGCCTGCCGCAAAGCTTGATCGAGAAGAATAAGACGATGCAAGCACTGCCGATTGCACGGGAGCAGCAGCCATGGCGACACGAGCAGTGGCAGCGGACACAGCAGCCATGATTCAAGCACAGGTTCAAAGGTGGAGGAGAAGAGGAGGGAGGAGCCTTGAGAAGAGGGTGGACAGAGTGGGGTTGTCTCGCACAACCACAGCCACAACCGCAGTTTCCAAGGCAGGATTCGCACATCTCTGTTGCGACCTCAGTTACCTCAGGCGAACGATTTGCGAAGTCACTTCTCTGGCAAGAAGGTGGGTACCTTATCATTTCGAAAAGGAATCGCTTTCGCGAATTGTGACTGGCCATTTCAGCCAAGAATGTGGAAGTTGGAAAACGGCCAGCCAATCGCAGACTTGCTTAGGTGTTTCGGGAGCATGAATGTGGTCGCCCAAAACACTACAATAGAAATCCTCTCAATACGAGATAGAAAATTCATATTGTTCACCCTTGTTGAAGATTCAGGTTCGATGTACATTATTCTAAGAAATGCTGGAAAATCAGTGTAGGTACTCTATTATTTGTGATAATTTCAGCTTAGCCCACAGAAATATATAAAAAGATTGTGAATCAGCTTATATTCTGGAATATGAATTGAATTAACATGTGGGGTGTTATGGCAATATATAAGGAATAGGCCTACAATAACAATACAGTGCGTTGTGCACCATCGCATCACAACGGCCACAGCATGGAGCGGTCACCGTTCAAACGGTGCTTTGGGCAGGCCGACTTGGTTTGGCGCCTAGTACACTCCAGCCATTCGCGAAGAAGGTCGAACGTGGCCGGAATGGCTCGCCATTTCAATTCGCACAAATCGCTGCGACTCGATGCGAATGGGTGCGCAATTCGTGCTGCGGTGCATTGTGCCAGCTAGCGAGGGGTGGTGGGAGTAGAAAAGGGGGCGGAGAGAATTCCACAATGTGTGTTGCTCTGCAGAACCATCGCATTGCGACGAGGAATTACTTGTGCGACGAACGACCAACTTGCGACCTGACTACTTGCTCTCTGTGCGCTACCTACGACTACCGGAACTTCACGAGGGACGAGAAATTCAGGCTTTGGCTTCAGGCAGAACCACGCGAATCAAATTTCACCGGCCTCTCTGAGTCAACGCTGTTGACACCGACCACCCCCCACCCACCCACGTTCCCTTCCTTTCTGCTTCGTCCTTTGCTCAATTTCGCGCTTTTCTGTCTCCCTGTCGTGCAGTCCGTCTTTCGTTTGCTTTGCCTTGTTTGTTGTGGTATCCCTTGCCGTCCCTTGCCTGTCTTTCCCTTGTCTACGCAATCCCCCCCCAGTCCTTCCCCAAGCGCGTCATGGAGAAGTTCACGATGACCATCGACACGCCGCCAAGGGCCGTCCGCAGCACCATCGCGAGCGGCTCCAGCCATCAGAAGCGACACGCCGCCGGCACTCCCAATGCGGACCGCAGCACGCCCGCGTCCGTGAAGAGGTCGCTCAAGCTCTCCACCCCGCGCCGCACTCCCTCCCAGGTATTGCCGAACACCCAGCGAGCCGTTGGGCTTGACCCGTAGGCGTCAGCTTCCAGCCAAGCGCCGATCGTCCCAGCGAATGCACTCAGATTCGTATCCGCGCCTCGCTTGCGCCAGATGCGCTTCCTTCCTGCTTCGCGTCGTAAGATGCTCGTGAGCGCGAATTGCGGCTGACGGTGCTCGGGTTGCCCGTGGCAGGCGGACCGCTTCATCCCCAACCGCGGCGCCATGGACCTCGACATGGCTCGCTTCAACATGGCGCGTGACGTCACCACCAGCAGCGGCGCCAGGGAGAACGGCGCGTCGCACGAAGTCACCTCGCCCAACGCGGTAAGTCTCGCCGCGCAGACTCGTCGTACTGCCATTCGCCGCCCGCATTCCTCGTCGCGTATACCTTCTTCCCTTTTCCCGCCACCCCTCCCTCCATCGACTCCCTCCGCATCCGCCCTCATTCCCTTTTCCCCCTCCCCGGCCGTCCCTGTCTCCATTCCCCCCTTGCTCTCCTCCCCTCCAGGCGCAGTACCGGAAGCAGCTGGCGGAGAATCTCCTCCGCGACAGCCCTTCCGCCAACACCACCCCCTGCGCCCGCCCCCGCGGCGCCAAGATCCTCTCCTTCAAGCCCGCGGGCTCCCCTTCCCCCGACTCCTCCGACTTCCCCGCCCGCGGGGCGCTCTTCTCCCCCGCCGCTTCCGCCAGCGCGAGCTGCGGGAAGCGCAAGGCGTTCCGGTACGTGGCGCAGGCGGCGGAGCGCATTCTGGACGCGCCGGAGCTGGTGGACGACTACTACCTCAACCTGCTCGACTGGAGCTCCTCCAACGTCGTCGCGCTCGCGCTCGGCGCGTCTGTCTACCTCTGGGACGCCGCCACCGGCGCCATTGAAGAGCTGCTGCACGTGGGCGGCGAGGGCGCGGACGAGGGCGCGGGCAGCGCGGAGTACGTGAGCAGCGTGGCGTGGGCGGCGGACGGGAAGCACCTGGCGGTGGGGCTGAGCTCCGCGGAGGTGCAGGTGTGGGACAGCCAGCGCCTCAAGCAGGTGCGCGCGCTCAAGGGCCACGCGGGGCGCGTCGGCGCCATGGACTGGAACGGCGCGACGCTCTCGACGGGCGGGCGCGACGGCGCGATCCTGAACCACGACGTGCGCATGCGCCACCACGTGACGTCGCGCCTCGCAGGGCACGAGCTGGAGGTGTGCGGCCTCAAGTGGTCGCCGTCCGGCCGCCAGCTGGCGAGCGGCGGAAACGACAACCTGCTCCACATCTGGGACGCCTCCGCCATGGCCTCCGCCTCCGCCGCCTCCGCCTTCTCCGCGTCGTCCGGGTCCTCCGCGCGCCTGGCGAACGGCAACGCGCCGTGGCTGCACCGCCTGGACCTCCACCAGGCCGCCGTGAAGGCGCTCGCGTGGTGCCCCTTCCAAGCCAACCTCCTCGCCTCGGGCGGAGGCTCGGCGGACCGAACCATCAAGTTCTGGAACACCCAGACGGGCGCGTGCGTGCGCAGCGTGGACACGGAATCACAGGTGTGCGCGCTGCAGTGGTCGCAGCACGACAAGGAGCTGCTGTCGTCGCACGGGTACAGCCGCAACCAGCTGTGCCTGTGGCACTACCCCACCATGGGCAAGCTCGCTGAGCTCTCCGGCCACTCCGCGCGCGTGCTGCACCTCGCGCAGAGCCCTGATGGCGCCACCGTCGCCTCCGCTGCCGCGGACGAGACGCTGCGCTTCTGGAAGGCGTTCGGCGGGCCCAAGGGCGAGCAGGCCGGCAAGGCGGGCAGCAGGGCCGGCAGTGGGAGCGGGAGCCTTGAGCGTGGGTTCAGCAGCCGCAGCATGAGCCTCAGGTAAATTGGTTGGGCCCGGTGGCAGCAGCATCAGTTTCAGTGGCAGCATTGGTGGCAGCAGCATCAGTTTCAGTGGCAGCATTGGTGGCAGCAGCATCAGTTTCAGTGGCAGCATCAGTGGCAGCAGCATCAGTTTCAGTGGCAGCATCGGTGGTAGCAGCATCAGTTTCAGTGGCAGCATCGGTGGTAGCATCGGTGGTAGCATCGGTGGCACCATCGGCAGCACTTAGTAGCTAGGAGGTCCGCATGCAAGGCTCTCCCGGCTGCCCGCACTCACATGTTAACACTCCATCGCCAATGCATGCCAGTCTCCTTGACCTGCATTGCTGTGGATCCTAGTTTTGGGGATAGGACGCCTCTCGCTGACCCTCCCCTCGCCTTGATTGTAACATAACATGTACATACCTGACTTGAATGACAGCTGCACATTGCAGAGTGTCTGTGTACCCGTGCTGTAAACTGGCTGCCTGAGAGACAGGAGGAATGTATGCAAAGTGGATGGGGCGAGCAGAGGTCGTGCAGCGATGAGTACCGTACACGTCAACGTGGCATGTTCTTGCTGCGCTGCTGCACTCCCATTAGCAGCACTACCGTATCGTATGGTATTCTTCACATGGCTGTTCTTCAACCTTGCTCAGCATCCTTAGCAGCATGTGCTCTCCGGCTGTCTGTTAGTAACAGTGAGTTTAGGAGGTCTCCAGCTGATCCTCCCCTCGCTTTGATTTCAACATAACATGTACATACCGTACCTGATCTGAATGGCAGCTGCATATTCCATGTAAATGTGCACGCACCCACCCCTGTTGGAACCCTGAGAAGCCCTGAAAAGGATTGTCTATCTGAAAGTGCCTTGCCTTGTGTCTGCAGAGCTCCGAGCAATGTATGGTACGGTACCGTACCATAATCTGCTCTGCACTCCCATGTGCAGCGCCGTTCAAGCTCTGACCACAAATTAAGCTGAACTTTTCAAGGTTGTTCCGCATCTGTAGGAGCATGTGCCTCTAGAGGCTGCTAGGAGCAGTGAGATACGGTAAGTCTGGCTTATAAAAAACTGCATTTAACCCATTTGATTGCGTAAGGCATGTGTACAAATCGTATATCATAATTGCTTTTACAAGTGGTTGTATTTGGAGGTGTAGTCGAGCACCCACACGGGCACACAGTAGACGAGCAAGCCGATGAGGAAGGAGGGGAGGATGGTGATGCAGTAGAGGTAGAAGTAGGGGCGCCAGCAGCGGCCGGTCTTGGCCTTGTGCAGCGCCAGCACCTCCACCATGAGCGTTGACACGGTGCTCAGTGACCCCAGGAACCCCAGCTGTATTGCCCCTATCGCCAGCACACTCACCTCGCTGTTGTACTGTGAGAGGGGGGGAGGGACGGAGGGGGCATGGAGAGAGGGAGTGAGGATGGGAGCGGGAGGAGAATGGGGCGGGTGAAGCAGAATGACAATGCTGGGTTGGAAGGAGTGGGGGGCGTGAGTGGTGCCTGAGCTGTCAGAGAGTGCGCTGCTACACGTGTGAGTGCACGTGTGAGAGTGTGTGTGTGGGTGCACGAGTGTGGGACTCACAGCGAGCACGACGGTAGAGAGGGCGGCCTCCAGCGCGGACGCGCTCACGTTGGCAGCCACCGTGCCCACGGGCACCCACTGCCACCACCGCCCCTTGCCCACCGCCCCGCCGTTCAGCCACGACAGGTACCACCGAATCCACGCGCCCGGCGCCGCCACCACGCACGCAAACCACAGGCGCCTTGTCTTGGAGGACCAGTCGTCGAGCGCGGTGCCGATGGCGGCAGCAGTGACGAGGAAGACGGAGAGGCAGAAGAAGAGCAGCAGCGACGCCCACCGCCGGTCAAAGTGGTCCCCGCGTGGAGCACGCAGGGGTGGCTTCCCGCGTGCGGTGCGGCGGTCGTTGGCGCGCTTGATCTGCCACTTGATGCCGTCGGCAAAGTCGATCCCCGCCATGAGCGACACGAAGGGCAGCGCGGCACCGACGATGTAGCCGGCGAGCGCGCGCACCCAGAGGCCGGAGGCGAGGATGGCGAGCATGCGCTGGTTCCACGACGCCAACGTCGTCACGCACCCGCACAGCCCCGTCGCCAGCCCGATCGCCAGGTGCTCCGAATACGCCGCTATGTGCCGCTTCGCCGCCACGCCCACCACTCCCATCATGAAACTGCCCGCCTGCCGTGTGGGAGAGGGGGTTGGGAGGGGAAGGGGAGAAAGGAAACAAGGGGCGCACGTGATGGGGAGAGGGGGGGAGCGCGGAAAGGAGGGAAGACGGGGATGGTGGGTGCGGGGAAGTGGGTGGGAGAGTGAAAGTGTGGGGCGCGGAAAGGGTTTGAAGGTGTTAGGGCGCGACTCACGATGTTAGCGGGCAAGTCGATGAAGACGGTCTGCTCGTCGTCCGTCACGTGCGCCACCTCCGGCCCGAACAGCACCTCCAGCCCGTACCGTATCAGCACCTGCGCTCGCCGCCGCGCGGGAAGGGGGCGAGGGGAGAAGGAGGGGGTGAGACCTACACTGAGGTGAATGCGCGAGGAGCAGCGCGGGGATGATGCGGCAAGAAAGCGAGCAGTTCTGGCGCGGTGCGGCGTGGATGGGATGACGAAAGCGAGCGCGGTGCGGCGGACGTACCCCGATGATGGCGAAGGTGGCGAGGTGCACGAGCACGGACACGTGCGTTAGCCACGGCTCGAGCCGCTCGTCCTCCTCCGGCACCTGCTCGCGCACGCGCGCCCAGGGGAACGCCATGGTTGGTGGACAAAGGGGGGGACGGGGAGTGAATGGGGGGAAGCGGAGAAAGGCGACGGCACACGGGCAGGACAAGGAGGAGAGTCGAGATATCGCACGCTCGGAGCAAGCGCGCCGAGTTCTCATGCATTCTTGAACAAGGCTACTTCTAAACCCGCGTCGCTGCCACTAGCAGGAGGACCGACGCTAATCACTCGCCTGAATTTCCGGTAACGGCGGGTGAGCGGCAGCTGGCGCCGCGACGACAATGGCGGCGGGAGGTGACACAGCAAAGCCAGAGGCGGGAGGCGCAATGTCCACTGCGGCGGCTTCCGCGGATGAAGAAACCACGGCGAGCTGCTGCGAGCGTGTGGCGGCACTGTCGGACGCCATCGCGCTTAAGAATACAATAGGACTAACTCTATTGAACTACAACACCAGAGGGTAAATCCGCGCTAACTCTAACTCTAACTCTATGTCGCGATTGAATCCGTCACCTAATATCTACACTCGAGGGTATCATCGACCTGACCGATCGATGCGTGCGTTAGCAGCGAGAGCGGTTTCATGACATGAGCTCACCAAAGCACAAGAATGAACAAGCGTAGTTCACGGACGCTCGCGCCATGCGTACACCGTAGGGCCAGGCAAGGCGAGTGAGCGAGTAAGCTAGAGTAGCGACGGATATTGCAGAACAGTGGAGTGCCACGGATGCCAGATGAGCCGGACAGCCATGGCTGCCGGTAGGGCAGGTCGGGTGTAGGTGGAGCAAGCGGCAACCCGCGGCATGCCGCGGAGCAGACAGCCCAGGCGAGGCGGGCGGGGGGCGGGCGCTTGCAGGAGAAGATGGGGTTCGTGTGGATTGCAGGCGCGCAGATGGGGAGGCGGAAGAGGGGGATCGGCAGAGGGAGCGGAAAAAGAAAGAGACGTGGGAAGGCGCGGCTGCGGGGAGGCAGATTTGCTGCGCGCGGAAGGAACAGTTTTGGCTTGTGATGTGAGGTGAAGGGAGGAGGGAGGGGGGAGGGGGATGTGCAGCGGGCGAGGGGGCAACCAGTGCGGGTGATGCTACAGTATCGGATGTGGGGGGGGTGTTGTGGGGGCCTTGCGCTGCCTGTAAGCGCGGGCCAATCAGGTGGCGGTCCAACGAACCCAGCGAAACCCTAGAGGTTGTACCTTCACCTGATGCCCCTCCCTACCGCCACCGCGAAACGAGAGCTGACTCGCATGGAAAATACATAATGACAATGTCACAACAAATTTGACGCATATCGCAATTGCGTGTGCTAAAATGGTATAGGATCTTATCTGCAATCGCAGTATTCAGTATCGCACTAATGCTATGATGTCAGAGTATCAGCTTTCCCGCCACCACCCCATTCGCCAGCACGATGAGATCCCAAGGATACAATGCGACACGGGAGAGATGGACGAAATGCCTTGCCGACATGCTCTTCACGAGAACCCTGATATGCCCTTTCGGCAAGCTCAATGCGGCAATCCCGGAGTTCTGTTGAGAAAGCATCTGGCTGTTGTGTAGTAGTCATGGCGTGTCAGGGAGCTGGGCTAATCATTGATTATGAAATAAACTAGAGGGATAAGTCGTATCCAGTCTTGATGTTTCTCCACGATAAGTTATGTAGCATACGCGAGTCAGACCTTGCAACCTTTGCCAAGTCGATGTGTTCAGCGCCGTAACCCTTCGGCACGGCGCGCGACCAACTCAGCAGGTCCTTATGGCACGGCAACGCTGCAGCTTGACAGTCCTCACCGTTCTCGTGTTCGCGTTGTCTTCTCATTCGGTAACGCGCTCATCCGCGACCGAAAATTACGATGTGCTTTTTTACTCCGCGGGACCCTACACCCCGTGCGGCACGTCGGGTAACTTCTCCGCGGTCGGCGTGCAAGGCGCATTAGAGCCGTACAAGGGAGAGGTGGCATCGCCTAAAGGACAAGCGATATCGGGGCGAGTGACCATTTACGATGACTGCTACTTCGCGCTCTCAGATCTCAGGTGCCTCTCTTCCGCTCCCCGCACCCACCGCTCTTCCTCTCATCGCAACTCCACCTCACCGCAACCAGGGCGCTCCCAACTTCCGCTCTTAATCCCACACTAGCGACCATCGCTCCTCCCTCGACCCTCCACCCATCCCCTTCTCTTAATCCCTTCTCCCCGCCACCCCTCCACTCCCTTCCCCGCGCCCCACGCGCAGCATCAGCGCGGCCGTGGACGCGCCGATATCCATCTGGGCGGGGCCCAAGGACGTCGACCCCTACTCGCACGCCGCGCCCGTCGACCCCTATGCCGCCTCCTCCTTTCCTGCCTCCGCCGCCTCCGCCTTCGCACCGGCCAGCGCCGCATTCAACCTCACGGCGACGTCGCTGATGGCAGTATTTCTGCAGGCGGGCGGACTCACCTGGGACGAGGCGCAGGTGCTCTACCTCTGCGCAGGGTCCGCCTCCGCGGGAATCACGCAGATCTACGCGCAGTTCGCGGTGGGCGGGAGGGAGCACGCGGGCCCGCACGGCAAGACCGTGCGGTGGGTGCGGAAGACGGTGGGGGCGGCCGCGAGGGAGCAGCGCCTGCTCTTGCCGTCGCCCCCCGCTCGCCCGCCCCCTCCGCCCCCCAAGCCACCTGCGCCGGGCAGCAGCGGGCCGTCCGTGGGGCTGACCAACTGCGTGGAGGCGGTGCCGGGGCGGCTGAACATGTGAGTGACGGGAACGGAGGCATGGGTGGGGCGGGGAGGAAGAATGGGCAGGCGGCGGAGAGAGAAAAAGGGGGAGGGGCGAAAGCATGTGCGCGGGTCCCCCCACGGCCCTTTGACTTTTCACTCATCACACCCCCCGTCCGCCCTTCCTACCCTCCCCTTCCCCCCTTGTTTCTGTGTGTGTGCGGTTGTTTCTGTGGTGTCGGATGCGGCAGATACTGGACCGTGCATCACGGCGACGCGGACGCAGGTGCCGCGGGACCGCCGCAAGACGTCTCCTCAGTCACCGGGTCCTCCACCGCGCCCGGCAGCAGCAGCGCTGGCAGCGGCGCCGGCGGCGGCGGCGGGGGAAAGGGGCCGGTGGTGGAGATGGGGATGGAGGCGCGCGTGGGCGAGGGGTCGTGGGTGGCGGTGGGCGTGTCGCGCAACCAGACGCGCTTCGCCATGCTGCAGAGCGACGTGACGGTGGGCGGCGTGCTGGCGGACGGCGGAGGGGTCTTTGCGCGCGACTACCACGTCACGGCCAAGCAGACGTGCCAGCAGGTCGCGGGCGGCTTCGTTGGCGTGTGCGAGGTGCGTGTGGGCGTGTGCGAGGTGCGTGTGGGCGTGTGCGAGGTGCGTGTAGGCGTGTGCGAGTGGCGGTTCATCAGCACAGCGTGTAACGTGTGCCCTCCGGTCCATAATCTCCCTTTCCATCTCGCCCCCCCCCATTCGCTCACGTTACTCCTTCATCCCTCCCTCAGCACCTTACTCTCCCCTTCCCCTTCCCCCATGCCTCCCTCCGTTTCATCCCCCCACCCTCCGCCCATCTCGCCGCAGGACGCGCTGCTGGGCTCGTCCCCCACGTCCCTCAACGACGTCACCCTCGTCTCCGCCTCGCGCCGCGCTGACGTCACCTTCATCCGCTTCACGAAGCCCGCCGCCACGGCGGACGACCGCTTCGACGCCAACCTGCTGCGCGCGCCGGGCCTCTCCGCGCTCTGGTGGGTCGTCTTCGCCGCGGGCCCGCTCGCCCCCGCGTCCACCGCCGCCGCGCCCACGCTGCTCTTCCACGACCCCGCGCTGGGCTACTTCTCTGGCGGCACGCGCATCCCCTTCGCGCCGCCCGCGCCCATCCGCACCTGCTCCCCGCTCTGGGGCACCAAGCCCGAGTACCACCCCCCGCTTCCCCCGTACGCGCCTCCGCCTCCCCCGGGCGCCTCTGCGCCGCCCCCGCCTGGCGCGGACGCGGGAGGGGGCGTGGCGGGCATGCCGGGGCTGCGCGAGTGCAGCACGGCGGTGGGCGGGCAGGTGTACGCGTTCGACGCGTGCGACGCGCTGCCCGGCGGCTTCCTGCTCATGTGGTCGCTGGCGGGCATCACGCTGCGCGCCGCGTTCGTCGCGCAGGCCGTGCCCGACGGCGGGTACGCCGCCGTGGGGCTGTCGCCGTCTGGCGCCGTCGCCAACTCGAGTCTGCTCGTCGTCTCGTACGCGCAGGCGGAGCGGGGTGCCGGGAAGGGCGCGGGCGCAGGGGCAGGCGGAGCGGAGGTGGAGGTGGGGCAGGTGGTGGTGCGTGCGGGTGCGCGGGGCGTGGGCGTGGAGGCGGTGGCGGGGGGCGATCTGACGGTGGTGAGCAGCGTGGGGCAGGCGAGGAACGGCGCGCTGACGCTGCTCTTCTCGCTGCTGCTGCTGCCCAACCAGACGGCCGCGGCGTACCTCGTGTGGACCAAGGGGCAGCGCGCGCAGCTCTCTCTGCCCGCCGCCGCGGCTGCCAACGAGACGGGGGGGGTGCTGTCGCTGGACGGGCTGGACGCGCTGATGACGTCAGCCATCAGCTTTGAACGCGGCGAGCCGAAAGACGATTCCAATGACACCATCCGGCTCTGGAAGGTGCGCTCTCCCTGTTCTGCTCGTCCCCACCCCCCCTGCTCCCCTTTCTGCATTTCATCTCCCAAACCCCCCTTGCTCCCAAATCTTCTTCTTCTTCAGCTCCCTGCACGCTCCTTGCATGCTGCTCGCCCTGCACCCCTCACCTCATGCCATCATGTCATCCCCACGTCTTACCATCCCAATCCCCACCCCCTTCCGCGTGCATCAGATCCACGGCATAATCAGCACGGTGGCGTGGGCGTTCCTCATGCCGCTGGGCGTGATGGCAGCGCGCTACCTGCGGCAGGTGTACGCGCGCTGGTTCCCCGTGCACCAGGCGCTGCACCTCGCCGCCGCCTCGCTGGCCACCGTCGCATTCACGATGGCGCTCACCATGCCGCACGGGGCTATTGAGGGGCGCGCTGACAAGGCGTCGCGGGGGACATGTGTGGTGGCGCACACGGCCATGGGCATCTCGCTCATGGTCATCGCAGCGCTGCAGGTGTGCTGGGGTGGGATGGGGTGGGGTGGGGTGTGGTGGGGTGTGGTGGGGTGGGGGTCGCATTCACCATGGCGCTCACCATGCCGCACGGCGCCATCCAGGTCCGCGCTGATGAGGCGTCCAGAGGGACGTGCGTGGTGGCGCATACAGCCATGGGCATCACGCTCATGGTCATCGCAGCGCTGCAGGTGGGCATACGCCGTGGGGTGGGGGTCACTGCCTCGCTGCTCTGCCCTGCTGTGTTGCTTCAGGGCACATGCTCACAGCCCCTCTCTGCTGCCTCCGGGCTCTCGGCATCCGCTTCCATACTTCTCCTTCTCGCCGCCTCCTCGTATCCCTCTCTCCCTCCCTCCGCGCTCATTTCCACCCTTCCCCACTCGCTCTGCGCTCACATCGCTCCGCTCTCCCCTCCCGTGCATCCCCCTCCCGACCGCAGTTGTCAGCGCTGGTGTGGCGGCCGCACGAGGACAGCAAGTGGCGCCCGTACTGGCGGCGCGTGCACGCTGTGGGAGGCGCGGTGGCGCTGCTGCTGGGGCAGGCACAGCTGCTCGTTGGCCTCTTCATCTCAGCAGCCCCCCTCTTCTACACGGTGCTGCTGGCAGCGTGGCTCATATTCGCGCTCCTCCTCACCACGGCCCTCGAGCTCCACTTCTTCCCCACCTTCTACCGCCTTGCGCACTGCTGGGACCGCCTTCTGGGCCGCGACGCTGACGTGGCGTCTGACGTGGACAGCCTCTGCGCGTCCAGTGAGAGGCTGGCGGGCGGCGCTGGTAGAAAGGGGGTGACGGTGGAGGGGGAGGGCGGCGATGGGGGGAAGGGTGCGGCAGGGGGATGGGTGGCGGTAGTGGTGGCGGTGCTGCGGCGCAGCAGGGGCGCCGGCATGCTGCCTGAACGGCCCAGGGCGCAGGGGAGGAGGGCAAACGGGGGGAAAGGTGAGGGGAGGCGAAGGGGGAGAGGAGGGGGTGCAGGAGGGGGAGCGGGGGCGAGTGAGAGGGCGGGGAGAGGGGGCAGCGTGGGAGCGGGGCGGGGCGGGTACATGAGCATGGCGGGCGCCAACGCTGCCACCGACCGCCGCTCCAAGGAGCTGCTGCCCCCTCCGGCTCCCCCGCCCCTGCCAGCCCCTGTTCTGTCGGCCCTGCCGCACTCACAAGCACCTACTCCCGCCTCTGCTGGTGGTGCTGCAGCTAGTGGTGGTGGTGGGATTGGTTCAGAGGGGGCAGGAGCGGAAGGGGGGAGAGCAAAGGGGGTGGAGGCACGGGCGGGGGCGTTTGGGCGAAGCCAGACGGTGGCAGAGGGGGGTTGCAGAGAGGGTGGCGGCGTCCAAGACCATGGCGCTGCTGCTGCTGCTGCTGCTGCTGCTGCTGCTGGTACTGCCGCTGCTGGTACAGGTGGTGGTGGTGGTAGTTCAGGGGCCAGCACGCAATCACGAGGCGTGTGGGCGGGTGGAATGGCAGCTTGGAAGGCTGAGGAGGCGGCGAGAGAGAGAAGGGGAGAGGGAGTGAGGGAGGGAGTGAGTGAGTACATTCGCACAGACAAGTACAACGTGCGGGCCACAGTAGTGAGAGCACCAGACCTGGCTCTCAGAGGGAGAGCGGCCCGGCAGGCAGGGGCAGGTGCGGTGGCAGGGGGGGCAGGCGGGGGAGCAGGAGGAGGGGCAGGGCCGGCAAGCACAGTGAGCGGGGCGGGAGGGGTGATGCAATAAGAGGAGAGCCAGGAGTGGTGCGTGCGTGCGACGGGTGACAGGCGTAGCAGGAGTGCTCTATTCCTGTGCTGCTGTAGGCCGGTGTGTGAGTATATCATGGTGTATGTAGGTAAGAGTGTGTCGCACAGCCACACGCGCTCCTGGCTCTGTCTGTTGGGATTTGAAACCAATGAAGACTCTCTCTCTCTCTCAGGGTCGTTCCTGTTGTCATCTGCTGTTCCACCCACGCTTGCACCAACAGCACACCATGCAAACTAGTACACTTATTGTTCACATTATTGCCCAGTGTGTCTAGGTGTAGCACACGTACCGTATGGTATGGATGTATCTAGTATCGGTAGTTTTGTTGGTTCACAATGCACTATAATTCTATTTCATTACAAGCTACACCTAATCTGCTGCTTTTTGCAGCAGCTATGATACTCAGCAGCAGGTACACGTATATGCCCCATCCTCCTGCCCATGTGCTGTGCCACAACTAGCAGAGTGTCCGACATGCCACACGCCACACACCGCTACACAGCGTCAGGGCTGAGAGGTTTGCAGGGAGGTGCCGACGTGATTGTAGAGGGAGTCAAAGCCGTTGAGCCAGCAGGGCAGCGAGTAGATGAGCAGCCCGAGGGCGAAGGAGGGTGCGATGGTGAGCAGCGCGTAGCAGTAGGCCTTGGCGGGCGAGCGCAGCGTGTAGTGCAGGTACAGGGCTTCTAAGGAGGGCATTGAGACCGTGCTGAGGCACGCCAGGAAGCCCAGCTGCATCGCCCCCACCGCCACCTCGCTCGTCGTGCTCTGGTACTGCCAGGGGGATGGGGGAAGGTGCGGGAGGGGAGGATGGGAAGAGCGAGGAGTGAGGGGAGTGCGTGTGGAATGTGTGAGGAGGGGTGTGGCAGTGGGTGGGGCAGCCACGTGGGCGAGGGGGGATGGAAGGAGGTGGGAGTGAGGGAGTTGAGTGGAGAGATCTGGAATGACGAGGAAGGCCAGAGGGCGCGGAACGAGGAGCAGCAGCAGCGATCACAGAGGGGCGCAGGTCAGGGGCGGCAGGGGCGCACCTTGAGGTAGAGGATGGAGATGGCGGCTTCCACTGCTGCCGCCCCCACATTCGCCATCCACGTGCCCCACGGCATCCACTCCCATGCGCCCCCGCCCTCCCCCCCTTCCGCCAGCAGCGCCTTTTCCGACCCGGGGCAGGGGGAACGGGCGCAGGGGGAAAAGGGGAGGCGGAAGGGGAAAGGCCTCCCGTTGAAGCGCAGGAGGAGGAAGCGGAGGTGGGTGCCTAGGGGGGCGAGGAGGCAGGCGCACGCGAGCATGCGCCAATGGTGCGCGGTGGGGGGGAGCAGCAGCGCGCCGAGCCCCGCCAGAAGCAGCATGCCGGCGGAGAGCAGCAGCATGGGGAGCATGTGGCGGCGGTGGTGGGGGGGATCCGTTGGCGGAGCAGGCGCGGGGAGCTTTGCGCTTGGAAGCGTACAGGGCAGAAGGGAGGAGGCGGGGGAGTGGGGAGCGCAGGCGAAGGCAAGGCGGATGGCGGTCCCCGCGTCGACGCCCGCGACGAGCGCGACGAGGGGAAGCGCGGAGCCGGTGAAGTACCCGAAGGCGGCGCGCGCCCACAGCCCCGCCGTGGCGATGGAGACCATGCGCTGGTTCCACGTGGCGAATGTTGATATGCTGCCGCACAGCCCGACGACGATGGCGATGGCGAGGTGGCGCGAGCGCGCGAGCAGCGCGGGGAGGAGCGCGACGGCGGAGAGGCCGAGGAGGAACGCGCCGAGCATGTTGGCCGGCAGGTCGACGAAGACCGTCAGCGCGTCGTCCGTCACGTGCGCCACGTTCGGGCCGAACAGCTCGTCCAATAGAAACTGAATGCACACCTGCGCGCGCGGGCGAGGGGGGAGCGGGGGGAGCGGGAGGGGGGATAAAGGGTAGGGCTGAAGAGGGTTAGAGGGGGAACGGGAGAGTTCCGCAGCGGGTGGATGCATGGTGGGAGTTGATGCGGGAGGGAGCGGTTGGGGGGAGTGCGCGCGCACGGGGGAGGATGGGGCGACACGCACCCCGACGATGGCGAACGGCGTGATGTGTGCCACGAGGCTCGCGCCATCCATCCACCGCTCCCACCGCTCCGTGCGATCGATTCCGCCCGGGGAATCCGCGCGCGCGCAGACGCACGCGTGGGGAGCGTCGAAGAATCCCACGTGGCTGGCGTAGCAGTAGTCGGACCCCGTCACCTGCCGCACGCGCGCAGCATGGGCAGCGGCGGAAGACACGGGGGCAAAGGGGGGCATGCAAGTGAGACGGGGGACACGGAGACGAGGGTTTGAAAACCCAGTGTTCGGAAAGAATGGGCTAAGCACCCCCCACCGTCTCCGCTCCTTTTCTCGCGCCTCCGTCCTACCGAGCCCTCTCTACCCCGCCTTACAACTGACCGCCTTACCTCGTCCGCGGATGTAAGCGGAAGGGCGCACTTCCGCCGACGACGACTGGCGCGGCAGATACAAGCCGCGCCGCTGCCTGTTTCCGCCTCTTGCATCACACCATCCCTCCCGGCGACGGCACCCGAGCTCGCCGACGATGCGCTGGCGCCGCAATTGGTGCTTTGCGGCGATCCCAGGTCGATCTGGCTCGCGAGCTCGGCGCGCTGCTGCCCAGTGGTACTCGCAACGGGCTCCGCGTTGCACGGCGCAGCAGCGGAGGCGTCAGTGTGCGGCCGCTGATCCGCGTGTGCGCTTCCCGTGCTGCTTCTACTAGAACGCTCAGATGCCGTGGCGCCCGTTCGACTCGACGCCCTACTCTTATCCGAACCCGCTGATGCTGCTGCGGCGCCACACGAGGACGATCCGCCGCTCCCCTGCCTCCCCGTGTCGCTGTGGTTTGCAGCTGCTGTGGAGGGGCATGCGAGCACAGCAGCATCCTGAATGCCACGTGACGGACGCGCCACGTCAGCGGCGGGCATTGGACGCGTGGGTCGCTGGCTGTCGCTCATTTTCCGGCTGAGAACCGAGGCGGAACCGCGGAGTGATTGCACGTGCCCCTATCAGGCTCAGCAGACAGCGGTGCGCGCAGTGACAGTAGCGTGCCGATTCGAGCGCTAACGGAGCCCGGCCATCGCGCGACGGTCGCTCTTACGACAACGTGCAGCAGATTACAGCAGACGATATCTCTAGTGGGGATCCGTAGTTAAATTGAACGCGCCGCTAAAAGAGAAGTCAGACTGGTGATGTACTACAGTGAATTAGGATAATATCAAGAAGTTCAACACGAGCGCCTCTAAATCATGGATGCATCTGGAGCTCAAATACTGTACGCAGTGGTGAAGGAAGTGGTAAGTCGCAAATTAACTGGGTGGAGGTTGACTTGGGGGTTAGCTGTGCCTGGACTGGGTTAGTCAAGGGAGGGAGGTATCGTGCTGGTGGAGGCATTGTAGGGGGAGGTACATGCGAGGGCCGTTTTGCAGTCAGGGGGGAAGGCGAGACACTGGTGGAGGGCAGGGGCGTTGTTTGTTACAGCACGCGCACAGCGGGGCGAGGTGGTGTGGCTGTGGCTCGCAGAGGGAGGGTCGGGCTGTGTTTGTTACAACCAATCGGGGGTAACAGGGGAATGTCGTTGGGTGGGCGGGATGGGCATGGGAGGGGAGGGGATGGTGGGTTGCGGGGGAAAGGACGGGGAGGGGGCTGCGCAGGGGCAGGTGTATGTATGTACAGAACCACGGCGCTGTTCTGGTGCGGCTGAACCTGCATCCGCGAAGCCTGTCACTCTCCTCCTCCTCCACCGAACCCCCTTATTTCCGCGCTTCTGCAGGGATTGCACATCGCACCATTGCCCCGCAGTGGAGGCTCGAGAGGGCACGAGAGGCTGGCAGCTGGGGGGTGTGGGGGAGGGAATGAGGTCGGGGGGCGGAGTGAAAGAGGACTGTTGAGAACTTCGAGGAGGCGGAGCGGAAGGATGAAGCCTCGAATGCTAGCCACGGTGGGATGGGCCGAGCGCGCTGGATTGGACCCTCCGACAGCCGCAGCAGCCAGCCAATAGAAAGAAAAGGTGACGTTTGGTCTGTAGTGATGCAGGAGGGACTCTTGGACTTAGCCGTTCAGTCAGCGTGCGCCACGTCAGCCATGTCACAAGTCCGTGGAACAGTGACACACCCACAGATGATACCTGCACTGTCAGAAACAACCTGATATCTTAAAGGATGTCATGTTTCGATACAAGTATATTTCTCCCTCAAAACCTCCAAACCAGTGGCGAACCATTTCAACCGCATCAAAGTGACAGAATGATCAGTGTAGAGAATGACACAATAAATAAGAAGCTAGTTATTATGATACACACATCAATCATAACAATTGCGCTCATTGAGGGTTAATGACCACATAGCAGTAAAAAAAATGACAGATAAGGCATCTTCATCCAGCAAAACCCCAACCAACAAAACCCCGCAAATCATCGTGTACGACGCATGAGCACCAATCGAGGACTAAGGGGGCGGTTGATGCTTCGATGCTCCCAGCACACCCAATAGTCAGCGGGCAGAGACGCTGCCATCTCCACTACAGCGTCATACTCCTCCCTTGGGCAAATTCAAAGGCATTCCGAAGCAGGGGGGGGCAATAGCTGGATGAGAAGGTTGAAGATGCGGTCTATTCCATCAATACAAGAGGATGTGCAAAACATGTGAATTGAATTCACATCGTTTTGAACCATAATCGTCTCCGCACCCCTGTCAGATCTATTGCCCGTCCCCACCCTGCACTCTCACCTGCCGCCTGGGTGGCCCACATAGGCCATGACACTGACCACGCCGCCCACAGCTGTGGCTGCCGCTGCTCCCTGCAGCGCTGCCACCGTGCTGCCCGGCTGCGTCGTGATGCCCTCAGGAGCAGCGGTAGGAAAGGTTACGGTGTTGGGAGGAGCGTGGTGGGCCCGAGGCAGGTAACCAAGGTTGAACGCCACCAATCTGGGGTGGTACAGGTGAGAGATGGAAGGGGTGCAGAGGAGGGGGAGGGGGAAGTGTGTTGAATGGAAGAATGGAAGACCTGAGGAGGGTGATGAACGAACGGAGGAATTGTAATGTGGGAGATTCTGCATGCGGGTGACACATCATTGATCACACATGGCATGGTGTATGGCTGAGACAGACGTGGTACGAGATTCAGCATGTCGTGCGAGAACGTGTGGCCATGAGAGGTACCGTGCCGAGCCAGGGGCGACGTGTTGGAGCAGCGTGGAGTGGCAGGCGCACACCGATTGTACATGAGCCATCTGCCGCATGGGAAGGTGAGGAGCGGGGAGGGAGAGGAGAAGAAGAGGCAGGTCAACTTTTGGTAGCACGAATGGCCGAAACACTCATGCATGAGCACCACACATGCACATGTGCAGCCAGTCACATGCGCACAGATGAAATCGTGCTGCCGTGCGCCTCTCACCTGCGTCTCTGACAGGCCAGCTGCCAGCAGGCGATGCGTTCTGCTGACGGCCTCCTCCTGTATGTCCATGGCCACCACTCGCCCCCTCACCTCCTCCCCTGCGCTCCCTGCCTCGCCTGCACGGCACAACCCAACCCATGCCCCCACCCATCCACCATCCACATGTAGCCATGGACGCGCACACAGGGGTTTGGCATCTGTCAGGGCAGGGCAGGGCAGCGCACTGATTGCAAGCAGTGCGAGGCGAGGCCTCACCATGGCTGGGTGGCGCGGGGGCGAGGGCGAGGGCAGCCATGGCCATGGTGTCGTGCCCGTTGCCGCACGTCGCGTCCACCACCGTGTCGCCGCGCCGCACCACGCCTCTCCACAGCCTGACCCGCTCGCACAAAAGGACGGCAGGCGGAAGGAGAGCGGATAGAATGTGGGTGGGCGGAGGATGAATGCCGGAACACGGAAGCACGGGGGTTGGGGAGGGGGAGGGGGAGGGGGAGGGGGAGGGGGAGGGGGAGGGGGAGGGGGAGGGGGAGGGGGAGAGGGAGGGGTAGGGGGAGGGGGAGGGGGGGGGAGAAGGGGGAAGGGGAGAGCGCGCCTACTGGTGAGCGACGGCGGTGAGTTTCCGGCCACGGAGCAGGGACTCAGCCAGGTCGGGCTCTCTGGGCTCCGCTCGCGACGACGCCCCTGGTGCCGCCATTTCCTGCGCCGATTGGCATGAGAACGAATGTCGTCGTTGCGAGACGCCAGCCGTCGTGAATATTGATGTCGCCGTCTCAATTCTCGTTGACAGCTCGCTAGAATTGGGCCGTCTCTGCCTGTCGCCGCACACCTTTCCTGAGGGCGTGTTTAAATGAAGCACGTCCTTCGTGAAATTCCATGAAATCCCTATCGCTAGAGACCTATTTGCACCTAGAGGGGTTCTTAATGAAGAAAGCATGTTGGTTGGGCGTGCCGCAAGTGGCGCTGATGGATTCATGTCGAGGAAACGGGGCTCATGTGAGCGAACGCCAAGATTTTGGGGAGTGCTGATTCAACATTGGGTGAGCCGAAATTTCTACATTGTGGTTGTGGAGTACATTTTGTAGTGCTTTTTTTAGTTGCGCTATTTTCTCAAACAAAACAAGCAAATCTCGCCCAGTGGACGGCCTGGATCATTCCGGAGGATCCTTCGATGTTGTCACTGGCGCGGTTCTGACGACAATCCCCAAGATGCCGCAAGGAATCCACTCTGCAGCACACATCCAGGCGATTCCGCCTGACACATTTCTGACGACAGCACCGCGCAAAACCGAGAAGGATTTTGGTGCCTCTTGACTGGAATGCCGCTGGCACGCCATATGTGGGATGAGCCTGGAGAATCCAAGGCCACCTGAATTCGGCTGAACATCGAATTTGAGGACCAAATCTCCCAGAGTTCTATCATTCTTATCAGCATCCTTACATCATTCTCCATCTCCGGATCCTTCTCCTCAGCATCTCTCGCATTCGCTGCCTTTATCCGCTTTCCACGCTGCATCTCGTTGTCGCCGGGTGCATCGTCCTCCTAGCGTACGTCGCAGCCATGGCCACCACCACTGCGCCGTCGGTGCAGCAAACGATCGACCGTCTGAGACTGGAGACGGCGACGCTTGATGAGATTAGGTCAGTCCGTGGACTGCACGTGAAGCGGTTTGATTTCTCTGGACACCGGGTAGCAATCATCAGTTTGCTCGTGGGCCAGGCTATCAGCTTACTTATTCACCATCTTCTTGCCCAATCGCAGCGCCCAAGAACGGAGCGGCTTCCTGTCTCTTTTCGAACGCTACTTGCAGTAAGTACTAGAACCGATGGGGGCTAGTAATCCTTGAGCTATCTCATCGCTTTCAGGAAGCCTTGTTCCTCCACATCTGACGCGTGGCGGTGGGTGTGCAGGGAGAAAGCGAATGTGATCCAGTGGGACAAGATCAAGTCGCCCACTGACCAGGAGGTCGTGCCGTACGATGACCTTCCTGAGGTTCCCCAAGGTAACCGCTTCGAGCGCTCTCTCTTAGCGAGCACTCAGGCCTGTCTTCGTGCGTTCCTGGTTTCTGATTCTCCAGTTGAAAGCATGTGTGGTGACACGGTGTGACGGCTGTTTCTGCTGCTGGTGCGGGTGGTGCGGGTGGTGCGGGTGGCAGATCCAGCGGTGGTGAAGGAGCTGCTGAGCAAGCTGGCGGTGATGAAGCTCAACGGCGGGCTGGGCACCACCATGGGGTGCACGGGACCCAAGTCAGTCACGCTCACCCCTCCACCCTCTCAACCTCCGCGCCTGTCGCTTCCTGCTCCTCCTTTATGTCTACCTACCGTGCTCGGTGCTAACGGTTCTCTTTTCGGGATTTCAGGTCTGTGATTGAGGTTCGGAACGGTCAGACATTCCTGGACTTAATCTTGAAGCAAATCGAGGTACGTCTGTTCCTCGGAAGGCCAATCCAAGCTTGTCACCCCAGTTGCGATCGCGCGCGGACCTGTCGCTGACGGTGCTTTCGTTCTCCTGGCAGACGTTGAACGGCAAGTACGGGTCGAGCGTGCCGCTGGTGCTCATGGACTCGTTCAACACGCACGACGACACTCTCAAGGTGCGCTCCTTCGCCCTCCGTGCCGCTCGTTCCGCTCCTACTCGCTTCTTATAGATTCATGACGCTTTGTGGACTCGTGTGTCGGCCTTTCTGACGGCGAACCGTGTGCGTGGCGGCAGATTCTCGAGAAGTACACGGATTCGGCGGTGAAGATCAAATACTTCAACCAGGTCACACCTCCTCTCTGGCGTCTCCGCAAATATGGCTTTCTCCGCTTACCTCCTGTTTCTCGTCCCCTGTCACTGCAACCGTGTGTCTATTTTGCACAAATTTCCGCCATCATTCCCTTTTCGTCCATTCGAACGTTCTCATCGAGTTGCGCGTCTGCTGTGGCGCTCACGCGCGTCGCCCTTGTCATTCTACGTCATGCTGTCTGCACTCACCACTCGCCCTCCCTCGTGCACGCCCGCGTGTGCTGTGTGCGTGTGCTGTGTGCGTGTGTGTGCGTGGATGAGAGCAGAGCCAGTACCCGCGGGTGGTGGCGGACGACAACACGCCGTGGCCTGCCAAGGGCCGCAAGGACAAGGCCGCTTGGTCAGTCCGCCCGTACCTCTGCCTCCCGTCTTCCCTCCCCCCTACCCACGACCCTTATCCCCCCCACCCCCTCCCCCCTCTCCGCTTTCCTGCCTCCTTTCCGTTACAGTCCCCCTCCTCGTTTTCCCCGCCTCATTCGTTCCTCGCTTTGGTCTAGCCGTCCTTTTCTGTAGATTTGTTGGATCACAGGCGTTCCCTGCTTCGGTGCGTGTGTGTGTCGGTCCCTGCGCGCGGCACTGCAGGTACCCTCCCGGGCACGGCGACGTGTTCCCCGCGCTCTGCAACAGCGGCGTGCTGGACCAGCTGCTCGCCGAGGTACGCCCTTCCGCCAGAATACTAGCGGAATGGCGTGGCGGAATGGCGGAGAGATGTAGACGCGTGGCGGAGCGAATGTAGACGCGTGACGGAGTCTGGAAAAGGGCAAAGAGAGTATTATCGCGTAGGCGCCGAGGGTACTAGTGCAGAGGATAGGGGAACACCAAGTGCACGCATGTGCGAGCATGGCATGGATAGCAGATGGGTGTGCATGCATTGAGCATGTGTGTGTGTGGCGTGCGTGCATGGCATGGCAGGGCATCGAGTACGTGTTCCTGGCGAACGCGGACAACCTTGGCGCCACGGTGGATCTGCGCATTCTCAACTTCATTGTACAGAACAACAACGAGTACTGCCTCGAAGTGAGTGCTACTCAATAGCGAGTATGCGTTGCAAGTGCTGCCACTTTGGAATTGTATAAATTATCTATGCATCCTGTTGCATCTCTGTGCCTCCCTTTTGTTCCCATCCCGACCCACTCCCTTCCCTTCTACTCCCATCCCATCCCACTCCCTTCCACTCCCATCCCATCCCACTCCCTTCCCTTCCCACTCCCATTCATTCCCTCTCCCATTCCTCGTTCCCATCCCTTCCTCCCTGCCCCCTGCCCGCCCACCCGCCCGCCCGCCCACCCCAATTGCGTGTCTTTGTGGGTGCGTTGCAGGTGACGCCAAAGACGTTGGCGGATGTGAAGGGCGGCACCATCATCAACTACGATGGCAAGCTGCAGGTGCCCACCCCCTCTACCCCCTCGCTGCACCACCCCCTCGCTGCACCACCCCCTTGCTGCACTCTGCTCTACTCTCCTCCTGGCTGCTCTCCCTTCCTCCACTACGCTCTCCTCTTTCACTGCCTTACCCATCTTCTGTATTTCCATCAACATGCTTCATGCAGCCGTGTCTTCTCGTTATGTCTTTGATGCCTTATCTCGCCTATCCTCTCTGCTCCTTCGCGCTTCCCGTGCAGCTATTGGAAATCGCCCAAGTGGCGCCTGAGCATGTGAGTGACAGCAGAGTGTGGGTGACAGCAGTGTGTCAGTGGGAGCAGAGTGGAAGTGCCAGCAGAGTGTGAGTGACACCAGAGAGTGTGGGTGACAGCGGAGTGTGTGGGAGCTGTGCCGTCAAGCGTTTTGAGCGTGTATTGCTGCCGCCATGCAAGGCTCTCGTCCACGGGCGCAGGGCTTGGGGCTGCATCATCAACACCTCTTTTCCTCTCCATGCCTGCTGCTGTTGCTGCTATGGGGTGCTGTGGGGTGTTGTGGGGTGGTGCTGGGTGGTGTGCGGTGGTGCAGGTATCGGAGTTCAAGTCCATTGAGAAGTTCAAGATCTTCAACACCAATAACATGTGCGTCCGCCATGCCATGCCGTGCCATGCCATGCCATGCCGTGCCACCATGCCACGCCGTGCCATGTCATGCCACCATTGAACACTCCAACAACACACCACCGTCGCTGCAAGTAGACTGTGCCAGCATGCAACGAACCAAGCAACTGTGTGTGTGCTTGGGTGCGTGCGAGCAGATGGCTGAACCTGGCGGCCATCAAGAGGCTGGTGGAGTCGGACGCCCTCAAGCTCGACATCATCCCCAACCCCAAGGTGCAAACCGCTGCTCCCTCTCCCCCTATCCTTCCCACGTCCCTGCTCCCTCTCCCCCTATCCTTCCCACGTCCCTGCTCCCTCTCCCCCTATCCTTCCCACGTCCCTGCTCCCTCTCCCCCTATCCTTCCCACGTCCCTGCTCCCTCTCCCCCTATCCTTCCCACGTCCCTGCTCCCTCTCCCCCTATCCTTCCCACGTCCCTGCTCCCTCTCCCCCTATCCTTCCCACGTCCCTTCTCCCTCTCCCCCTATCCTTCCCACGTCCCTGCTCCCTCTCCCCCTATCCTTCCCACGTCCCTGCTCCCTCTCCCCCTATCCTTCCCACGTCCCTGCTCCCTCTCCCCCTATCCTTCCCACGTCCCTGCTCCCTCTCCCCCTATCCTTCCCACGTCCCTGCTCCCTCTCCCCCTATCCTTCCCACGTCCCTGCTCCCTCTCCCCCTATCCTTCCCACGTCCCTGCTCCCTCTCCCCCTATCCTTCCCACGTCCCTGCTCCCTCTCCCCCTATCCTTCCCACGTCCCTGCTCCCTCTCCCCCTATCCTTCCCACGTCCCTGCTCCCTCTCCCCCTATCCTTCCCACGTCCCTGCTCCCTCTCCCCCTATCCTTCCCACGTCCCTGCTCCCTCTCCCCCTATCCTTCCCACGTCCCTGCTCCCTCTCCCCCTATCCTTCCCACGTCCCTGCTCCCTCTCCCCCTATCCTTCCCACGTCCCTGCTCCCTCTCCCCCTATCCTTCCCACGTCCCTGCTCCCTCTCCCCCTATCCTTCCCACGTCCCTGCTCCCTCTCCCCCTATCCTTCCCACGTCCCTGCTCCCTCTCCCCCTATCCTTCCCACGTCCCTGCTCCCTCTCCCCCTATCCTTCCCACGTCCCTGCTCCCTCTCCCCCTATCCTTCCCACGTCCCTGCTCCCTCTCCCCCTATCCTTCCCACGTCCCTGCCCCTCTCCCCCTATCCTTCCCACGTCCCTGCCCCTCTCCCCCTATCCTTCCCACGTCCCTGCCCCTCTCCCCCTATCCTTCCCACGTCCCTGCCCCTCTCCCCCTATCCTTCCCACGTCCCTGCCCCTCTCCCCCTATCCTTCCCACGTCCCTGCCCCTCTCCCCCTATCCTTCCCACGTCCCTGCCCCTCTCCCCCTATCCTTCCCACGTCCCTGCCCCTCTCCCCCTATCCTTCCCACGTCCCTGCCCCTCTCCCCCTATCCTTCCCACGTCCCTGCCCCTCTCCCCCTCTCCTTCCCACGTCCCTGCCCCTCTCCCCCTATCCTTCCCACGTCCCTGCCCCTCTCCCCCTATCCTTCCCACGTCCCTGCCCCTCTCCCCCTATCCTTCCCACGTCCCTGCCCCTCTCCCCCTATCCTTCCCACGTCCCTGCCCCTCTCCCCCGCCTCACTTCCATTCCCCCATCTGTCGCTCTCCATCCTCTCCCATCCCGTCTTCGCCATTGCTCTCCTGCCATTCCTACCACTCCCGGATAACATCTCCGTCACGCCTGTGCGTGCATGCCTGCACTCTTTCCGTGTGCATGTGTGCATGCTGCATGCGTCCACGCTCCATGTGTGCATGCTGCATGCGTCCACGCTCCATGTGTGCATGTGTCTTTCCATGTGTGCATGTGTCTTTCCATGTGCGAGCAGGAGGTGGAGGGGGTGAAGGTGCTGCAGCTCGAGACGGCTGCCGGTGCCGCCATGAAGGTCAGCCCTGCTGCACTCCAACCATGCCTCCCTGCATTGCCATCGCTCATTCTCTCTTCTTCCACCCGTCTCCATCGTCCCTGTTCCCTCGCCTCTCCATGCCTCACTACCTCACTCTTCTTCCACCACCCCCTCCATCCCCTCCGCCCCCCATTCGTTCCCCCTCTCCCTCCCCCCACCTGTTCAGTTCTTTGACCGGGCCATCGGGGTGAACGTGCCTCGCTCGCGCTTCCTGCCCGTCAAGGCCACCTCCGACCTCCTGCTTGTCCAGGTGCCTCCATGCTTCTTCTCCGCCGCCCTTTCCTCTCCCCTCCAATTGTCATTCCAAGAGTTGCCTTGCTGACGCGCACCCACCCACTCTCCCCCTCGGCCGCACACCATGTGCCTGCAGTGCACCTTTTCCACCCCACGTTCTCTGCCTCTTCTCACCACAAATTGTCGCGCGCATTAACCTCCTCGCACCCCTGGTTTCCACCTCTCAACCTGTAACCCTACTCCTTTCCATGACTCGCCTCCTCTCTCCCCCCCCCGCGTGTGCCGGCAGTCGGATCTGTACACGGTGGAGGATGGGCTCGTCACGCGCAACCCCGCCAGAACCGCTGCCGCTAACCCCACCATTGACCTGGGGCCCGAGTTCAAAAAGGTGTGTGTGCCATGCCCCTTCATGTGCGCCACTGGCAGAGCTGTGCTGCCAGTGTCTTACGATTTTCCGTGTGCTGCATGCATGCCATGATCCATCTGTATTTCTATGCTGCTACGCGAGCCTCACATCGGTCATGGATTGCCCACTGCTGTTGCATGCTGCTGTGGCGAGCAGGTGGCGGATTTCCAAAAGAGGTTCAAGGCCATCCCCAGCATCATACAGCTGGACAGCCTCAAGGTGTCGGGCGACGTGAGCTTCGGAGAGAATGTCACTCTCAAGGTCCGTGCCTCCCCCCCGCTCTCGCTCACCCCCTCTGTCTGGAATGACCTCTGTAAAATTGGTGCCCTTTTCCCACTTCCCTCCACTCCACCACCTCCTCTCATCCATCCTAATCTGCCATCCACCGTGTATCCATCCTCGTGTGCGGTGCATGCAGGGCAAGGTGGCGATAGAGGCGCCCAAGGATGACAAGATTGTGGTGGCTGATGGCACTGTGCTGGAGGGATAGGCGTGCAGGGAAGGTGCCATTTACACAAGCTGACGTGGAGCCAGCAGCAAGGTGTCCTGCTTCCATATCAGCATTATACGAGATGCAGGCGCAGTGTTTTAAATTTGTGGTCTTAGCCAGTTGAAGATCACTTGTGGAGTCATATTTTTTAAGTGATAATGGAGATTGTTGTTGCTGGATGAAATAAGCCAGGGATAGAAGCAGCAGAACTAAATGGCTATATGGATATTGTGCAGCCCGTTTGGCATGAGACACTGCTGCAGGCTTTCTGGAGAAGCAGCTAAGTATCACTCGTTGAAAAGGGGTGACTAATGAGCCCTGTGTGGGGCATGAGCATTGCATTGCAGCATAGCTCCGTGCTTGCAGGGAGGCAGAGGGTCACGAGGAGGGCAACAGCTTGTAGGGGTTGAGGATGCCGTTGGGGTCAAAGAGCGCCTTCACCCTCTTCATCACTGCCACCTGCATGCCATGCACACGACACACAGGGTGGGTTAATGCGAGAGGCTACGATGTACAGCCCAGGCAGGGAGGTGTTGGAGATGAGCTGGATGGAAGCAGCAACAGAGAGAAGATGAGCTGAGTACCAGGTGAATGTGCAATTGCCCCGATAATTGCATGTGCACGCTGAATGGCTGCCTGATTGCGCTGCCGCATGGTATGCTACCAGCATACTATGCGAGCACTCCAGAGGCAGAGCTTGGGAGAGCTGGGCAGAGAGACAGCAACGCACCGCTTGGGGGTCCTTGCTATAGTGGATGGCGTTGGCCTTCATGAGCCCAAGGCCGTGCTCCGCACTCACACTGCCCTGCCGCCCCGCCACCCACTCGTACACGAATGGCTCTATCCGCTCCAACAACTGCCAGGGAAGGGTGGTGCACATGCCAGCACGCACACATGGGAGAGCACCCATGCTCAATGGAGGTGGGATGTGGAAGGATGGGAAGGAGAGATGCGCGCATAAGAGGACCAAACACATGGGGTACGGCCGCGCTCTTGGGCGCGTCCAGTGGCCTTGCTGGGGTGCCATTCTCAGCACTCGAGTTGCTGTCTCATTTACATCACATACCCGGGCGGGACAGTGGAGAATAATGGAGGAATGACAGCAAGAGCATAGAGGAGCACTCACTTTGTCGTCATACGAGGGAGCGGAGATGTTGAGGTGCAGATTGCCATCGCCCAGATGCCCATACCCCACCACCTGCGCTGCACTGCCCTCTGTGCCCCGCCAACATGGACAGGCACAGGGAAGGAAGACAGGTGAGAGAGGGACCATGAAAATCAGAGAGGCAGAAACGTGCAGGAAGGGCGACAACGTGACAAGTTGACTCGGAGAAGAACCTACCAGGCTATCCCCCTCACCTAGGCGGGAGCGCATCTCATCAACGAGGCCGTACAGCTGTGAGACGGGCACTGACAGGTCGTACTTGTACACTGCGCCTGCTCGCTGTAGCGCCTCCGCCACTCCCTGATCGTAACACATAGGGAAAGGAGACAGAATGGCACGCAGGAAGGAAGGAATGAAAGAGCTACTTCTTGCAGTGCTACTCACGCGTGCACAGTCGCCTGACATCTCTTATGCGCACCTCGCACAGGTCCCAGAGAGCGGCGGCCTGGGTGGAGTCATGAGCCACGGTGCCGTCCTCCACAGTGCCCTCCAGGAACACGTTGGCAGGTGCCATCTCACCGCTTCTCACCGCATCTCACCACATCTCAGCGCATCTCACCTCGCGCAGGTGCCAGATGGCAGCGGCCTGAGTAGAATCGTGAGCCACGGTGCCGTCCTCCACGGCGCCATCCTCCATCACGCCCTCCAGAAACGCGTCCAGCTTCACCCTGGCGGCCGCTCACACGGGTGTGGGGCGTGTGTCCGGGGGGGAAGGAGGGTGGTTGGGAGGGTGTGGTTTGTTGGAAGGCATGCTGCGTGGTGCCAGGGAGCCGAACATCTGTTCATGGAATGTCAGAGACGAATTTGGGCCTTCGTATGCATGTCGCACGCACTGACTGGTAGGTATTGCTCTGCTGAGTGCGCATGTGTGCCAGACCCACCAGTCGTGGTGCACTGCTGTGTGCGAATATATGCATGTGCTGCACCCACCGGTCGTGGTCAGGGTTGCTGCCAGACGTTTCAATGAGGACGTAGAAGGGATACTCCCCGTCCGGTAGCGGGTCCCTCGTGCCCTCGTTGTGCTTCAGCACCTGCTCACACCGCATGACACACACGCAGGAGAGCACGGGCGTGGCAGGGAGGGGTGAGGGTGATCACATCTAAATTCATGGGATTTTTGCTGTCCTCATATTTTCATATCACATGCAAGCTCACTCACCTTGTTAATCAGGTTCACATGGGAATCAACATTAGAGGCGTTACCATCTGCAGGGAGCTGCGGTCGAAGAACTCAGCGGCAGATAGCACCTCCCCCAGGTGGCGCCTGCTGGCGCAGAACACCTGCTGCACAGCGTCGAATGATGAGCACCCCAGCAGCGCCACGTGCACTGAGGGCGAGCGCGGGGGCGCCAGCAGCACCACCCTTGTCACCACGCCCAGCGTGCCCTCCGCCCCTGGTGGCCGGGACATGTGGAAGGGGCGTGTGGGGGGGACGTGGGGTTGAGAACGTGTTGTGTGCACTGTGGTGCAGCACAAGCAGATCACACCGTCACCATGCCGTGCGATTACGTGTGACCACATGCCACTCCACATGACAAGCCACGACATGGCCTCAGACGCCATCACACTAATTAGCCCATCCCCAGCTGTACCGATGAAGAGCTGCTTGAGGTCGTAGCCAGTGTTGTCCTTCCTGAGCGCCCTCGTCATGTCCACCACCGTGCCATCCGCCATCACCACCTCCAGCCCTGCACGTGTCGTGCTCCCATGGGCCATGGGAGGGACAGGCGGAGAGAGGAGGGACAGGTGGGGAGAGAAAGGGCAGATGAAGTAGGGATGAGCAGAAAATGGATGGACACGGTTCGGTGGCATTACGGGCAGATTGAATGAGCTCAACGCTCCACGATCCACAGAGTGTGGGCAAGTAGGCTCGCCGAGCATAGAGGTGCGCAAAGGCACGAGGACAGTGAGCAGAGCATTCAAGCGAGCAGAGAAGCGAGCAGAGAAACGAGCAGAGAAACGAGCAGAGAAACGAGCAGAGAAACGAGCAGAGAAACGAGCAGAGAAACGAGCAGAGAAGCGAGCAGAGAAACGAGCAGAGAAACGAGCAGAGAAACGAGCAGAGAAACGAGCAGAGAAGCGAGCAGAGAAACTAGCAGAGAAACGAGCAGAGAAACGAGCAGAGAAACGAGCAGAGAAACGAGCAGGCAGGGTGACTGACCGAGCACGGAGCCGTGCAGGGAGCCGTATCGGAGGAGCCGGATGCCACCCGCGTTGGTGGAGACATTGCCGCCTATCTGACAGCTGCCCTTGGCGCCCAGATCCAATGGCATCACGAACCTTGCAGGGCGGAGGGATGGTCACAGGGCTGGTCATGCGGTGAGGCGCACGTGGGAGAGACACTTGTGGGGTGTGTGCGGCCACGCTCGTGTATGCACGCTCGTGTGTGCTTGCTTGTGTGTGCATGCTTGTGTGCGGGTTCACACACAGATGGCTCACCCCTTGTCAGCCAGGAAGGTGTCGAGGGACTCAAGGATGCACCCCGCCTCGCACTCCAGGATGCCGCTCACCTGATAGCGCGCCCCACACAGGCCCCAGCAGAGTGAGGGGCAGGGTGGTGGTGGGGGGATTGGTTGGGGGAAGCACTGAGAGAGAGCAGGCGCGCCCCACACAGGCCCCAGCAGAGTGAGGGGCAGGGTGGTGGTGGGGGGATTGGTTGGGGGAAGCACTGAGAGAGAGCAGGCACTGGCGTGTGTGAGTAGTGAAGTGATAATGCACGGAGGGAAGGTTAGCTGCATATCTTGCACGGAGGGAAGGTTAGCTGCATATCTTGCACGGCTTGTGGTTGGTTTCAATGAGAAAGTTTCAGTTGATGAGCGAGGGATTGGGCATAGCGGCGTGTGATAGCCATGGCGCGTTGCAGCATGGGAAGGGCAACAGAGAGCAAGAGGCGTACCTCATCGAACGAGATGACCTTGTTCATTCCTGCCAGGCTCAGAATAATCTGTCCGGCCATGCCATACAATGCGAAGCCGTGCCACGCCGCGTCATGTCATGCCATACCATGCCATGCCATCATGATCACCATGCCATGCCATCATGATCACCATGCCGCACACGCAGCAGGCGGGTGGGACAGGAGCAGCAGTAAGAAGGGGAAAGAGGCAACTGCCCCCTGTGCCTCTGTTCAATAGCCTCCTCACCCTTACTAGATCCACCTGTGCCCTTGACATTGCAAATTACTGCCTTCTATGCCGATTCATAGTGACTGAGTGAGAGTGCACTGAGTGAGACTTCTATGACTGACATTGACAGTCAAGCGTACAGCAACACCCCATGGCAACCGCACTCACCTCATCGAACACAGGCACACTGCCGCCCACCAGCCCCGTGTTGCCGCCCTGAGGCACCACCGCCAACCGCCTCTCATTGCAATACTTCAGAACGTCCGCCACGTGGCTTGTTGTGGTTGGCCGCAGCAACAGCTTGCTATTCCCCTTGTACTTGCCCATCCAGTCCACGTTGGCTGCTGCCACGGCGTCAGGGTCCGTGATTACGCCACGTTCGCCTAGAATTCCCTTGAAATATTCCACGTCAGCATCTTCCAACGTGGCAAATTGCGGGTCTCTGGAAACGGCCACCGTGGCGTACCCTGCCTGTGCTGTGGCGCCAGAGGGGAGGGACTCAGGACCGGGAGACAGAAGCGCGCTCAACCCAACCCGTGCGGAGGCAAGTGCGGGGGCGCTGGTAGCGGTGGCTGAGGGGGTTCGGTGGAGTGGGAGGCCAGCGGACATTGCGCGGAGTAATTGCATATTCGGCGGAGCAGGCGCGGAGAGTGATGGGGGTGGATGGAGCGCGGAGCTGGGCGAGGCACGGGGAAGAAGGCCAGCTTGGCGGAACAAGGAGGAGGTTGCGCGGATTGCGCGGCCACGCTGAGAGGAAGCCATGGTGCGCCGCACTGGCACTGGCAATCTCCTGACGTCACGAGACTAGGCGAACAGCAGTGACAGAAGCGGCTACTGAGAGCGATGCGACGCGATCAGACAAGCACTGAAAGCAGACGCGCGACTTGCACGAGAAACTGGGTTGACGGAACACTAGTAACGGGGAAAGCACTTCCAGTAATGGCGGCTCGGCGGCGCTGTAATGACTGTGGCCAGTCGAAGGTGCGGCGGAAGAGTGAATGGTGCGGACAGCTAGACAGATTTAGCACGAGTGGTCTAATCGCACGCGAGGCTGCGTTAGAATGAAGTCTACAAACGTGGAGGCTTCTCGATGGGAAGGGTGGACAAGTGGCAGTGGAGCGAGAAGACAGGCTCTGGTCTGGTCTGGTCCTGAGCACGTCTAGAAAACCAAACATGCCAGTCTTGTAAAAGAGGCGTTCCTCAACGACTGATGGCGGTTGGCTGGAACGACCATGGCTTCTACAAGGTGAACTTGAGCTCGCTCCAGCGCTGCAGCACATTTGCGGTGAGCAATTCCCGAGGTGCTGGCGAGAGGCGTACATTGGTGCTTCCTGCCCCTCAAGAACAGCGGCGATGAGTGCGGCCCATTCGCATGCTTTCCTAATAATCCCCGCTGGCATTGCACATGCATTTACGATTTTGCTAAAATGGCCATGATACAAATCGGTAGAGATGAAAATGATAATCACGCTAGCTACTTATATGTAGCCTTGTATGTATGTACCTTATTGCGCTTTTATGTTCCCAATACCCGGTAAAAGTCACTTTTGCTGATGTGGTGCCACATGTGCCTTTGGATGAGGTCTGTCAAATTCTGTGTGTCGTCTCAACTCCCACTCCTGCAGATCGACTCCCACTGACGCTCTGACGCGTGGAACCGAAATGTCCCCCCTTTCTGGACAACCATAGCCAGTCAGAGGTTACCTTATCAACCATTTGTTCGTGAATTTGAATGGGTTCAGGCACGAGCAAGCTCCACGCCGACGATTCGGGTTCTCGCGAACGTTCAACGGCCAGATGCGTTCGGAGTTTCGTCTAAGCAATGTGGAATTCCCAGAGCTGCCTGACTAGGCATCTAGCAGGGTGGTATGGAAAACTGATCAGCCAGTGGCACTTTGGAGTCCCTTCCACCTGCATCTCGGACCAGGCTGGTCTGGTCTAGAGCCTAGACTTGCCGCCATGGCTAAGGATGATGATCCGCAAAAGGCGGCGCCTTCGCAGCTAGTCTCTAAGAAGTCTTCCGCGCAGGAGCCGCAGAAGAAGATGAGCCCAGGGGAGGAGATGGAGAGCGAGTGGCAGCAGATAGTGGACTATTACGACCCGGCCAATGTGGAGAAGCGCGCGGAGGAGGCGAGGAAGAAGGAGCTGCAGGCTCTTCAGACCGCCATGGAGGCGAATCGCGAGCAGGAACAGGTTAGAACCGATCGCCACACGATTTCTTAGGGATGAGGATGTAACTGATTCTGGTTCCAGGTCAGCATGTAGCGGTTCTCGCGATTCAGGGGTTTGATCTGATTGGTGCTTAAGGATTATTTTCATAAGCTTACCTCAATGCGTCGAGTTGATGTTAGATGCGCAACCGTTCCAACGTGCTACAGTGGTTGTGTCAGCCCCGATTTGGAACGTAGCCAGTATCTAGCACAAAAGATGAGTAGACTCAGAAACTGATGTGGTAAGTCGTCTAGGGTTTCTCACGTTGGTTTACGATCATTACTGAGTCGTATAGCTGAGACTACATTGTTCTATGCCTGCAAATAAGGTGGAATAGAAGGCCTTAATCTTGCGCCTAGTTATGTTAGCTCAATCTACCTCCTTTCGTCATCCGTGCCCCTCGACCACAGCCCCGTAGCGAGCCTGATGTGATATTCTTGAGCTGCATAGATTCTATCCTACGCAAGCCATGACCTCCTTCGTTCCCCATTCTCCCGCCACGCGCCTGTACCACCCTCCGCTCGTCACGCCGTAGATTCTGGAGGAGTTCTACGGCATCAAGCCGCGGCCGAAGCAGTCGCTGGAGGAGCTCGAGGCGGCGGCGGCGGAGGTGGCGGAGGAGGAGGAGTGGAACTTCCCGCAGGACCCGGACAAGTGGACGGAGGCGGATCTGGGCGAGGAGTGGGCGGACGCGCCCGCCGATGCCAAGGTGCCGTTCTACGACCCGCTCCTCGGGCTCTCCGCGCTCGACGCCGCCGATGATGACGCCGACGCTGACGACGGCAGGCGCAGGTAAGGAGAACCACCGAGAACCAGACGCAATGCCGACTGAACGCAACCCAATGCTGGTCACACGCAACCCGGATGCTGTATCTCATCCCATTGCACGCCGCCGGTGCCGCCCTTTCCGTTATCTGCTCCCATCGTGTATGTCCTCTGCCCGTCCCCTCACTCAGGCGCAAGGCCCCGCGGAAGCAGCAGCGCGCGAAGCTGCCGCACTCGGAGGACCGGTATGTGCCGTATCGGCAGGGGCTGCCGCCGGTGAACGAGATGGACGACGGCAGCTCGGGCGCGCTCAAGGCGCTGGAGGAGCTGGAGATGGAGGAGGAGTTCCTGCAGTGGGCCTCCTACGTCTTCCGCGACGGCGCCACGTGAGTGCTTCCGCCCCATGAGTGCTGCCCCCCGCATGAGTGTCGCTCCCCGCATGAGTGCTGCCCAGCTGGAGATGGAGGAGGAGTTCCTGCAGTGGGCCTCCTACGTCTTCCGCGACGGCGCCACGTGAGTGCTTCCGCCCCATGAGTGCTGCCCCCCGCATGAGTGTCGCTCCCCGCATGAGTGCTGCCCAGCTGGAGATGGAGGAGGAGTTCCTTCAGTGGGCCTCCTACGTCTTCCACGACGGCGCCACGTGAGTGCTGCCTCCCCACGTGTCCCGCGAGGCAGGGCGGATGGGATGGGTGGCGGATGTGCGTAGGGGCTGGTGGGATGAGGCGACTGGTGGACCCGAGTAATTGCCATGGTAGGCAGTTTTGAGCGTAGTATGATGGAAGCACCGCTTTGCTGATTTGGCAGTTTCTCCCTCTAATCCGTCGTGTCCATGTCTAACCACGGATCACCGTTCCCATCCGTACAGCTACTATGTTCAAGCTCCCTCTCTTTCCGTCCCCCCTCCCCCTACCCCTTTTTCTCGCCCTCCCTCGCGCTCTCGCCTTTCCCCCTTGCCGTCCCCGCTGCTCGCTGTGGGTGTGGGGGCGCCAGGTACGAGGGCACGGTGTGGAACGACATGGCGCAGGGCAAGGGAGTGTACACCACGCCGCTCGAGCTCTGCAAGTGAGTTTCGTGCACCCTGTCAATGACAAATACAACAACCCACACCACACCAACAGTAAACAGCTTCTCAAATCCTCTCCCCCTCTTCACGCGCACGCTCTCTCCTCCGTGTCCTCCCACTCTCCTGCTTTACTTCCCAACTCCTTCCCGTCTGTCTACCGCTGCGTGTGCACATCTAACTGTGCGTGCGTGCGTGCGTGCGTGCGTCCGTGCGTGCGTGTGCGCGCATGTGAGCTTGAGCAGGTACGAGGGCGAGTGGGTGCAGAACATGATGCAGGGCCATGGTGTCGTCTCCGTTGACGTCCCTGCGCGCCTCCCGCCGCCAGACTCCGAGTGAGCCTCCTCGCAACCCCATGCGCTCTTCTTTCCCCGCCGTGCCGCTTTTCCCCTCCTTCCTACCCTCCTGGTTCTTGTTAAACCCTCAACCTCTACACCCGATCATTGTCGCCCTTCCCCCTGCGCCTCCCCTCTCACCATTCGCCTCCCTTCCCCCACGTCGACACCCCCCCCCCCCTGTGTCTCACCCTCCCCTGTCTCCGTCCGCGCGCGGTGTGCGTGTGGCAGGGCGTGGCGGAAGCTGAAGGCGGAGGGGAAGGTGTTTGAGGACGAGGAGATGAGCGCGGAGGACAGGGAGTGGCTGCGCATGGAGCTCGAGGACCTCCAGGAGAGCGAGGCCAAGAAGGCGGGGGGCGCGGGCGGGGAGGGCGCGGGGGCGGTGGAGGACCCCACGGACGCCGTGCCCTTCGAGGACCACCCCGGCTGGCTCAAGGTCTTCGGCCGCAAGCCGTGAGTGCCCTGCTCTCTGGCCGCTGGACGTCAGTGCTCTGCTCTGTGGGGCGTGGGTGTGAGTGCTCTGTTTCTGTGGGGGCTGGGAGTGAGTGCTCCGTTCTGTAGGGGCTGGACGTGAGTGCTCTGCTACTCGGGTTCACAGGAAGCGTGAAGCGTGATTTGACGAACAGAGTCGGATATGCACCTTGAGAGGTCTGGGAACAATGCTTTGCTTTGCGCCTTTCCCCCTGTGGTTCATACGTGCATGTGTGTGCGCAGGGAGAAGGGGCACTACGAGTACGCGGGGCAGATGAAGCAGAACAAGTTCCATGGCTGCGGTGTCTTCACCCTCAACGGCAAAATGCACTTTGTGAGTCACTGAACATCACATTAGCGTCTCGTTACGGCCATTTCGCCCTCCCTCATCCTACGTACTGTCTGCTTGTCAGTGCCGTGTATGTGCTCTCTAGCTATTCTCATGCCATCCACATCCCATGCCATCCCCATCCCATCCCATGCCATGCTGTGCCATGCCGTGCCACTGACAGGGCAAGTTCCGCTTTGGCGAGTTTCTGCGCAACAAGGACGAGTGCGACGCGCACACCTCCGGGGTGAGTGCATCCAAAGGTGCAGCGCTGGGGGGAGTTGCAGGGTTGTGGACAGTCACGATAGAGTGTGCAGGCATGGTTGCCAGAGGGGGGGAGGGGGATGGGTGCACGGACAAGAGGATGGGCATGGCAGGGAGAGTTGCGGTGTGGACAGCTCCTGTCAACGTTGCTGCTGTGTGCATGCCTTGCCATAACGCTTCATCCTCTGGATCGCTCGTACACAAACATCCTTACCCTCCCCCTCGCTACCTGTTAACACTGCCATCCTTCCCCTCCTCCCCTGCCCTTCCCCGGTCAGTTCCATGCGGGCATGGCACGAGTGGCAGCAGCCAAGGCGCGCATGTTTGTCAACAAGCCCGATGGCAGTAAGTACCGTTTATGGAGACGTCTCAAAAGTCCCCGATGGCTGTAAGTACCGTTTATTCCAGCCCCCTGCTCGCCGCTCCTCTCGCCCACCCTGCTCCATCCACGCTCTCCACTTACTCCTGCCCTTGCACCATTCCAGCGCCCCCATCTCTCTCGCCTTCCCTTGCTCGTTTGCCTTCCATTGCTCACTTGCCACAGCCGTGATCCAACCCACCCCTCCATCTCCCATTTCCCCCATCCAGTGCTTGCCCTAAACCCCAAACTCCTTCACCGCACTCCCCATCTCTCCCCATGCGTGTGTGTGCAGTGGTGCGGGAGGTGAAGGGGCCATACAACGAGCCATCGCACCCGTACCTGTACGACGAGGACGACATGTGGCAGGCGCCAGGGTTCATCCACGAGTTCCACGATGTGCCCGCCGTGTGGCGCAAGTATGCGGACGAGGTGGACGGGGAGCGCCAGCTGTGGCTCAACTCCTTCAAGAAGGCGCCCCTGCGTCTCCCCTCGCCCTCCGAACTCTCCTACCTCTGGGACCAGAGTGAGTGCCCGTGCCTGTGAAAGCAGAGTGGGGGCGTTAAGAGACGAGATTGATGGGGGGAGTTCTAGATTTGGAACCAGTGTGAAATTGCATCACATGAAACACAGAGAGAGTATCCCCTGAAGAACTCTATCAGCAATGTGGTGTCCTCTCCCCCCTCCTGGCACCTGGCTCCCCTCTCTCTCGTCTTGGCACTGCCTCCCCATGGATGCCACATGCCTACTTAAGGGCATGCTGCTGCTTGACGAAGCCAAACTGCGTCTGATGTGACAAACCCCCCTCGGGGACCCACTCTTTAGCGGCTTGCTCACTTCGCTTCCATGCCTCCCTCGCTTGCCCTCTACCCTGCTCATTTCCACATGCGCAGAGGAGGAGTTTGTGGTGCTGCGCAACTCACCGCGGCTGCCGGAGCGGGCGGGGGAGAGTGCGGAGGAGGCGGAGATGAGGCGGGCGGACATGCAGGGACAGGTTCTGGTGCACGTGCCGTCGCGGCAGATCATCAACTGGACCACGGACGAGGAGGGCAAGCTGCGCCTCTTTGTTCAGCCCTTCACCAAGTGAGCTGGCTCCCATGGCCGCGGGTAGGGCATGGCAGGATATGGGGTCTAATGGGATGGCATGGGATGGCATGTCATGGCATGGCCTGGCATAGAGTGTGTTCACCATCAAACTTACATCCTCCTTCGCTGGTCCCGTATTTCCATTGTTGCCGCGCCCCTCTCCCGTGCACACATGCACTCATACACTTTGCCTTGCGTGCCCTCACCATCTTCTTCCACTCCTCCCTACCCCGGTCCCCTCCCCTCCCCCCGGCCCCACTTCAGGGATGGCAAGGTGGATCCATCCAAGGCGCGCCCGCTGCCACTGGGCTTCGACGAGTTCATCAAGGGCGAGGAGATGGAGCAGGAGGAGGAGGACGAGGAGGAGGAGGAGAGCGAGGAGGCGCGGCGCCTCAAGACCCCCGAGCAGCTGCAGCGCGATGCAGAGCGCCGCCGGGCCAAGGCCGCGGAGGCGAGGCGGCGCCGCGTGGCGCGGTGGGAGCGCACGCTGCGCAACCGGGTGGCGTCGCGGCGCGAGCAGCGCGAGGAGGAGTGGGCACGGCAGGATGCGGAGGAGGAGGAGCTGCGGCGGCTGGAGGAGGAGGAGTGGCAGCGCGAGGGGGACCTCATGGATGCCGAGTTTGAGGCCCGGCTTGATGCTGCCGAGGGGATCCTGCCCGCTGGAGAGGAAGAGGAGGAGGACGGGGCGGAGGGCGCAGATCAGGCACAGGAGGAGGAAGCGGCTGGCAAAGGGGTGGTGAAGGGCAGTGCTGCATCTGCGGCAGCTGCGGGGGCCAAGGCTGCTGCTGGTGCCTCTGGGGCCGGGGAGGAGGAGGAAGGGTCGGAGAGCGAGAGTGAGGGTGAGAGTGATGATGAGGATGAGGAGGAGAGGAAGCCGCGGAGCTTTGGAACGGTGGCCATGGCGGTGGGAGGGAGCGAGGGCAGGGAGGAGGGCGGGGCAGGGGAGGGGTGGCTAAGGGGGCCGGCTGCAGCAGGCAGCAGCACGGTGTTTGCCTCCATCTCACTCTCCTCTCAGGTGCGTGCACCTGCTTCTCCTTTGGAACTGACTCAGAAGTCTCCTTTCTCTGCTCTTGTCTCACCACCCGTCTTCCCTCTCACCACCCCTTGTCCCTCTCACTTCTCCTCTCTCTCTCCCACCAGGTGGCACTGCAGCACGCCATCCATCACGCCGCACGCTCCATCTCCTCCCTCCGCCGCCTCCTCCCCTCACCCTCCCCTTCCACCCCCACTGCGTCTCCCTCCCCCGCCGCTGCCCCCTTAGCCTCCCCCTCCCTGCCTCCCGCACTGGCACTAATGGTGCGCATGCCTTCCGTGCTGCCTCTCACGCCCTGCCTGCGTGCGTCAGCCCTGTCCTCAGCTGCACGCCATGCACCCGTTGCTAAGAGCAGCTCACGTGGTGCTGCTAGAGCCAGCCATGCTCGCCAGCAGCAGCACCCCCAGGAGGTTGCGGTGGTGGGGGGCATTCTCTCCCTTGCCCTGCCACTGCCTGCTACCCCCCCCCTTGCCTAGTCTGTGTGAGTGAGCTGCTGCTGAGAAGGTGACACTACTCGTGCAACTCTAGACCTGGAATAGGCTTGCCAGACCTCAGGTTTGATATACCGTATCTACAGTAATTAATAAAACATCTAATGCAAGTTGTTGGACCACAAGCTATGGCTCGTACAGCAACAGTATTCAGCAAGGGACATCAATTACAGCTTGGGTACATGATATCGAGGTATATTGCTGGAGTTTTGGATCCAAGCTATCACGCTGTGGATCACAACGAGGATTGCACGTCGGAGCTGTATTGCTAGCTACGGAAACTAGGCATTTCCACACCAAAATCCTCCATCAAGCGAGGCTCAGTTAGTTGCGAAACTGCGAATTGAAAGGTGTCAGAAGTGTGATGTTTCACTGCCTGAGTGCAATTTGTACAAAAACCTCCATATTGCACTATTCTGTAGTGGAGTGGAATCAAGTGTCCTGCAGAAGATCCATACTGTATCCCAACTAAGCATCCACACATAGGGTACGTCAATACTTTATTCCTACACGCATGCCTTCACCATGTGTCCTTGCCTATCAGCTACCAAACCAACACACCCCGTCCACCCGGACCACAGTCCCCTATCCAATCCCGGTCTATCCAATCCCCTACCACCGCCGTTCCGCCTAACACCCCCCAGCCCTGCACATATCCACGTGTCTGGCACAACTGCATGCGTGTGTGTGAGAGAGTGCACCCGGCAGCAGGCAGCAGGCGACTGGTTAGTACGGCTTTTCATCCCAGGCCCAGGAGCGCCAGTTGTTGCCGATGTAAGGCGGCTCGGGGTTCCAGTTCCAGGGGCGGCCGTTGACCTTGCCGCCGGGCGGCACGTACCCGTTGCCCACGAAGAGCTCCTTGAAGCGCCCGCGGATGTTGGAGATGTAGCAGAGCTGCCGGCCGTCGCCGCGGTAGGGCTGGCGCGCGCAGCGCATGAGCTCGGTTACCCAGGAGCTGTACCCCACGGACTCCAGCCACTTGTTGCCGAACGCCATGCGCCCGAACGCCGCCTGGTTGGGGCCTGGGCAAGTGACGCCGATGCTCACGTTGACTGCGGGCTCCCAGTAGATTCCCACATCATTCGCCTGCATGGACGCGCACACGCACGTGTACCGGAACCACATGCCGTAGTCGCTGTTCTTGTCGCATTCGAACGGCTTCGTCAGGTCACTGCCCGCGATCGCCTCCGCGCCCTGCTTCCCCCCGCCGAGGCTGAGCGCCACCACCACCGCGCACAGCAGCGCCACGCGTACCGAGCGGAGACCCATGATTCGTGGCCAAAAAGCTAAGGAGATCGCTAAAACGGAGTGGATGCACAGAAGAATTGGGATATCGTCCAGAAGAGTTGATGTGTTCCCATTGATGACTCTAGCCCTAAGCAAGCCTTCTTATGCATCCTTGGGCTCAGTGGAATCGCCGAATCGTGCTGAGACGCGGCTCGTTGAAGCCAAGAAGGAAGATGCGAATTCATGTGAAATGGCGACTCGTGAGGGTTGCGAGAGGAGCAAGTGGAGGTTGCGTCAGAAGGGGACGGTTGGTCTCCTGCTAGGGGTTGCCAACCGCTGTTCCGCATAAAAGTTGGTTTCGAGTTTCGGCATCCTCGAAAACGGTGTACATTGCGTATCGTGAAATATATATGTGGTGTCGTAAAATTAGTAATTGCGCCAGATCTTTTTTCCTGTGTGGCAGAAATGCTTGCCATGCCTGCGTGGCATGATGAATGGTAACCAGCAAAAGAGCCTCTCGTAGCGACATTCGTCAAAGAGCCCACTCCAGATGGCAAGATCTCAGCGCTGGTTTCTTCTTACGTGGCTTACTGGCGGATAGGGCTCCGCCTCCCGCACACCACCCTCCGCCACAAACGATTCTTCCAAACGCCTTCCGACTGGTGACTTTCGGCAACTTCAGGGGCTTCACCGCGTTCCCCGCGCTTTGCACTTCCGCTTTCCCGACTTCTCGCCTGCCAGCTTTCACCTTCCCGCCCTCCCCGCATCCCCGATCCCGCCCACCACCCCCACCACCCCCACCAGCCCTCAGCGCCTCTGTTACCCTTGGGATCTCCTTTCCCCCCATCCATCGTCTCGTGCCTTCCCTTCCCTCCCACCCACCACCAGCACCGTTGCTGCTGCTGCTGCTGCTCTCACCTCAACCTTCTCTTGCTGCAGCTCTTCAGGCATCACGCTTTGCTCTAGTCTCCACGCCTGACTAGGTGATTCGCTGCAATGGCTGCCGTCGCTTCCACCATGGCCACCACCCTCTCCGTGAGGAGCCTCAACACCGCCTTTGTCGGCGGAAAGAGCCTTCGTTCGGCTGCGAAGCTTCCGTCAGTCGTGAGGGCCGCTAGGTTGGTCGCGGAGGCCAGGCAGGAGAAGGCCGTCAGCAGCTCTTCCGTCGCGTCCGCCGCGTCATCCGTCGTCGAGGGAATCTTCGGCGAGAAGGCGACGAGGCAGATGCACCACGCTGCGATCATTGCGATGAATGCGATGATCGCCATGCCAGCGTTCGCTGAGGAGGAGAAGGGAAAGATCTTCGATTTCAACCTGACCCTCCCCATTATCGTCGTTCAGTTCCTCCTCCTCATGGTTGCTCTCGATACCATCTGGTTCAAGCCGGTCTCCACTGTCATGGATTCCCGCGACGAGGAAATCAGGAAGAAGCTGATCGGCGTGAGGGACAACTCGGGCGAGATTAAGGACCTGCAGAGCCAGGCCGAGGCGCTCATCAAGGCGGCTCGCGCGGAGGCGTCAGGGCAAATGAACGCGATGAAGAAGGAGGTGGCTGCCGAGCTTGACGCGAAGCTGCAGGCGTACCGGGCGCGCATCGAGAAGGAGCTCGAGTCGTCGCTCGCCAACCTCGAGACGCAGAAGGTGGCGACCCTCAAGAGCCTCGACTCGCAGGTGTCTGCACTCAGTGACGAGATCGTGAACAAGGTCATTCCCTTCAAGGCGTGATCCGTGTCGCACTGTTGTACTTGAGATAATCTTTTATAGAGCTCGCATTTTTGAAACCCCAGTAGAGGCGTCTCTGAGCACAAGCTTCCCCTCTTCCGAGAGCCAAACTCACTTGCACTCACACCCACTCACGTCACACTCACTCCCTCAGACTCACTCACTCAAACATGGACACTCGTACTTAGGCGCTCACTCACTCACAGGGTTCTGCGTGAGTAGCAGGGTGCTCTCAGCACCGCCATCATTATAGGTGTGCATCGGCCTCACAAATAGAAGTACAATGGAGGCTGACCAATGTGCAGGAACATACCATATGATGGCCAAAGGAATGTTTGCCTTGCATTGCTAAACCCTCTCCAGCATGTCTACCTGGAACAACACTGGTGCTTGGGCTGTGCGAACAGCACAGCAAGTCTTGGGCAGCAAGCAAATGCATCTCTGTGCACTGCACTCCCTTCCCTGGTACCGTATCATTCTATGGGGGGAGAATACCTGTAGAAGCCTGAACCGAAAGAATGGCCCAGTATGCAGCTCAGCCTAGGTTGTGTGCATAAAAATTATATAAAAACCGGTTTCATAAGGCCAATGCTCAGTCTAGGTGTGGGTGGGACGTCTCCCAATGTTGACGCATGTGTGTGTGCATCACCTACAGCTCATCCTTCACCTCCTGTGACGATCCTGCTACCTCCTCCCCTCTTCCACCATCCGTCTCTAAGTCCCTTCTCAGCTCCTCCTCCTCTGCCCTCGCTGTCACATCTTCCCCCACCACATTCCCCCCAGCTGCTGCACCAGCACCAGCCTCCCCACTGGCAGCTGTCTCCACACCCCCTTGCTCCCTCTCCTCCCCTCTCTCCCCCTCCACCGCCTCACCCCCCTCGCCCTCTCGCATCACGCACGCGTCCCAAGTCGCCCGGCCAGCGCTCTCAGCGTCCTTGCGGGGGGTCTGCCACGTGGCGTGCACCGCCATCTTGTGGGGCGGCTTGGAGTACGATGCTATCAGCTGCAGCTCCTCCTTGCCGTCATTCACAATCTGAGACACACAGGGGGGAGGGTGTGGAGGGGAATGAGAGGGGGGAAACTGTGGGCGGGAAGCTAGCAGGGTGGCATGAGACGGCTTATAGGAGGAGAGGTTTGAAGGGGATTGTAGGGAGCAGAGTGCATAGCTTATGAGCACATTCCTCTCGCACAGCATTCACCTGGCACAGCATTCACCTGGCACAGCATTCACCTGGCACAGCATTCACCTGGCACAGCATTCACCTGGCACAGCATTCACCTGGCACAGCATTCACCTGGCACAGCATTCACCTGGCACAGCATTCACCTGGCACAGCATTCACCTGGCACAGCATTCACCTGGCACAGCATTCACCTGGCACAGCATTCACCTGGCACAGCATTCACCTGGCACAGCATTCACCTGGCACAGCATTCACCTGGCACAGCATTCACCTGGCACAGCATTCACCTGGCACAGCATTCACCTGGCACAGCATTCACCTGGCACAGCATTCACCTGGCACAGCATTCACCTGGCACAGCATTCACCTGGCACAGCATTCACCTGGCACAGCATTCACCTGGCACAGCATTCACCTGGCACAGCATTCACCTGGCACAGCATTCACCTGGCACAGCATTCACCTGGCACAGCATTCACCTGGCACAGCATTCACCTGGCACAGCATTCACCTGGCACAGCATTCACCTGGCACAGCATTCACCTGGCACAGCATTCACCTGGCACAGCATTCACCTGGCACAGCATTCACCTGGCACAGCATTCACCTGGCACAGCATTCACCTGGCACAGCATTCACCTGCAGCATTCACCTGGCACAGCATTCACCTGGCACAGCATTCACCTGCACTCATTCCTGGCACAGCATTCACCTGGCACAGCATTCACCTGGCACAGCATTCACCTGGCACAGCATTCACCTGCACAGCATTCACCTGGCACAGCATTCACCTGGCACAGCATTCACCTGGCACAGCATTCACCTGGCACAGCATTCACCTGGCACAGCATTCACCTGGCACAGAGTATGTAGCGTACCTGGTGTAGGGCCTTGGGTTGGAAGGTGACGGTGGTGTTGCGCTTGACTGCATGGGCGGACGGTTCTGTCTTCTTCTCCTCCACCACCCACACCTTGCCCTCTCCGCGCGTGAACACCACCACCTCCTCCTGTCACCGCCACCACGCCACCAACAAGCAGCCGAGCACAAGCAGCACACGGCACACAGCAAACAATGAGTGGCACGCAGGATGCAATGAGCGGCGCACACCACACCACGTACATGCCGGCCAGTCACACAGCCATGTCGTGCTTGCAAGAGAGGAATTGAAACGTGGCGGATCGGTCCAAACAGAACGACGAACGCCTGCACTGGTGGCTGTGTGAGCATATGGGTGAGAGCGTATGGGGGCCATCATGCCTCACCTGCGGGTGCGAGTGAATGGGGGTCTTAGCACCAGGCGCGAACGTCATCATAAACACCTCCACGTGTTTCAGCCCGTGCTGCACCTTGCCGCCCAGCGTGATCACCGCCACGCCCTCCATGCCGTAGCTGTCCTGGTACAGAGTTCGAATCTCGCGCACCAACGGGCCGCGCGACAGGTCCTCGCAGTACGGCTCGGGATCCGCCGCCACTACCGCTTCCGACGCCGCTTCCGCTGGTGAGCCCGCTGCAGATTCCGCTGCTGCGCCGGTTGCGCCTGCTCCCTCCGCGTCCGCTGGTTGCGCTGCTGCGGAAGCCGCTTCCGCTGTTTCCGCGGGTGAATGCTGTGTCCCGTCAGCCGCTGACGCGTCAGCAGCGACCATGATTGGCGATGCCGCAAGCGATAGCGCAAGAAGCAGCGCGACGACGGGTTGTCGCACGGCGACGCGAACGGAGTCCCGGGCGACAATCGGAGCCATGACGTCGCACACCGCTACTCAAAAGAGGTATATCTCCCGCGGCGCTGAGTGTCTCCGGAAGAGTTTGAGCTGCGTTGAGAATTGAGATGTGAAGGTGGACTGTAATGAGAAATGGGAATGGCTGATGACACGATTGATCAGCTTGCTCGTGGCGCTGAACGGAAGCTTCAAGAAATTCCAGTGGTGTGGGCTGAACCGGTTTGATATACGGTACGTCCCGGTTGAGAAGGAAAAACTGGGATAAAAAACGAGCCCAAATTAACACACACTTGCAAAATTAACTTCAGACCTCAGTTGTTGTTAATGAAGCAACCACCTTAGTAGCTTTTGATCACATGCCGTACGACTGTGCATGCAAGAGGAAAAGCGGATCACACCACAGCACATCCTTCTCCCAACGCATCCCCTTCCTACCCCTCTCCCTGGCACCAGCATCATCATCAGCATCATCAACAGCATCATCATCAGCATCATCATCAGCATTCGCCCGCATCACATCTGAGAGCACACTCTGCAGGATGGGATTCACAGGCATCTCCTGCAGCTTCCTCGCAGCTGCCTTGACCAGCTTCCTTGTCCTCCGCACATCCTCGGCTGTTGCTTGCAACGCACTCACTGCTGCCGTGCACTCACTCCCATCCCCACTGCTGCTCTCGACACACTCCTTTTCACACTCCTCTCTGCTCATATTTCTCCAACCCAGTGCAAGACACTCGACACGCCCAGCTCCCGAGAACGACACTTTGCTAAGCGCCCACAACCCAAGAAGCGGCCGAATCAGGGCAGAAAAAGAGTCCTGGTGAAACGTCGGCCCGCCCACCCATTTCATCGACTTGCACAGCCGGGCAGCTTGGGCAGCCTCGGTGAAAAACCTTCTTGCAAAGACCAATTTCCAGGTGGTGATTGTTCTGAGGAGCGCAGGGGAGGGCGGGCAGTGCTGCAGCGCTTGGTGCAGGTGCAGGCAGCAGAGGTGTGCGAGCAGCAAGGGCTCCTCGTGGTGGTTATCAACCTCTCGGTCAAACAGCCTCCGCACAAACCCCGGCACTGCCCGCACTGCTGCCGCTGCTCCTTCCTCTCCTGGTCTCGTTTCCCCATCCCTCCTCTCACTCTCTGCTGCACTCTCCTCCTCCTGCTCCTCCTCTTCATCCTCCTCACCCACCAACTCATCTCCCAGGCGGTCCAAGGCAGTGAGGCGCTGAAA